TTAACAACGGAGAATTATTGTTACTGTGCATTCCTTCTTAAGTGCATATAAGTCACCGTGTTGACCCAAATCAATGTGCCACTATGTTTCTCCATGACTCAAGACGTTTACTGTGGTCATCAGCCAATTACTATGTCTCGTGGTAATGGGTAAGCCTTAATTATCTGCATATAGGAAGTTGGACAATCTTCCTGTTCTACCGTCTGCTGACATCTTGAAAAGCTGTAGAGTCCTCTGGTGGTCACCTTGTGAACTCTGCTGTCAAAGCACAGTGTGACTACAGAGCACGTTCCCAGCTTGTAAAATAATAATGATAATATTTAAAAAAGCTTTCTTTTCATGTCTCTCTTATTTGATATCAGTGTTTGCAACTGCACACTAAGATTTAGCTTCTTTCTATCTCTATAAAGTCCTGTTAGGTTGTTTGTTTTTTTTTAAATTGTGGTTTAAAAGGCTAAAATCAATAAAAGCTCCATTAATTTTTTTTCTGACAGGCAGCATGGATGTAAGTACTTCATCAAATTCTCAGATCTCTACTCTGGTAAGAATGAGTGCATTGCATTCTCCTCTGTTATCCAACCTTAATATAAATGTATAACTTTTTGCTTATGTTTGCAACTGCAAGTTGGTGTCCTCCATCGTGTCCACCTTCTCCCTCCCACGTATTTCCATCTTGGCTCCTGACCCTTCTCTTTCTCCATCCTCCTCCTCCTCTCCTCCTCCTCCTCCTCCGCCCCCTCCGCCTCCTCCTCTGTCTCAGCATTCTGATCCTCTGTGTGGCAGCTGCCCGTCCTCTGGTTCTGCCCCACAGGCTAACAGCCTTTGGCCCAGCCTGTCACCTTCTGGAGCTGGATTCCCCACTTGGCCAGGACAGGCCACTCAACCCGCACCGTGCTGGACAGGCCAGCCAAACACACCCTGCTGGCCTGGGATGCAACCAGCTCCAGTCTCTGTCCCCACTCCAATTCCACTCCAAGCTCCCACTCAAGTCGTAACACCACCTCCTGCGCCAACCACAACTGTAGTTCCAGCTCCAACTGCAGTGCAGCCCTGTCAGCCTTGCTGGCCAGGCACCCAGTACCAGCCTCCTCAGCCACCAGCTCCAATTCAAGTTCAAGTCCCAAATCCAACTCCAACTCCAGTTCCAGTGCCTGCACCTGCTCCCAGCATCCATCCAAATGTACCAGGCTGGCCTGCAAATCCCGGCTGGCCCTATAACCCGGGACAATCAGGGTGGCCTGGGCAGAATCCGTCCATCATGCCTCCACACTGGCTCCCACCCACATCTGGACCTCTAGTGAGTCAAATGCAAGGAACCGGGTGTGTTCGTTTGCTGCCAGGCTGTTTCACCGTGCTCCTCTCTCTTTGCTGTTTAGAGCGTGCCATACAACTTGAACCTGGCCCGAGGGGTGTATGACAAAATGATGATGACGATCTTGGGCTATGTGAAACCTAACGCTAAAATGTAAGCCTGCGTCTGTGTGCCCTCAGTGTCTTTGAAAAACAAGGTGGATTTCATGTTGCATTAGGTTCTTGAGAGCATGTTTTCTTTAGTCTGAATCCGTCTGGTCTCCCGCAGGTTCACAGTGAACTTCCTGAGAGGCAACGACATCGCCTTTCACATCAACCCCCGCTTCAACGAGGCGGCCAAGCAGGTGCTTGTCCGCAACCACAAGCTGGGTGAACGCTGGGGTGCCGAAGAGAGAGACCTGAAGGGTCCCTTCCCTTTTGCGCTTGGGAGCCCTTTTGAGGTGAGTGACAGAGACCGAAATTAGATCAGGGCAGTGGGCTGAAGCACCACGAGAGGCTATATTGTGTTGTATTAATCATTGGATCGCTTCAGAGCACAAAACAAACTGAAGATCACGTTTTAAATCATTAATCTCAATTCTCAGAAGTTTAAAACAATTCTTACATTATTAATACTTTTAAAAACTAATAACTAATTAGATGAAACTAAACTAAAACTACTAACGTGCAATAAAATGAGTTTTACTGCTGATCCTTGTGCGTTTAACTGACTCTAGGTCACTTTCTCATGGGAAACGTTAGGCCTCGAAAAAATGGAAAGGGTTGGAAAGTCGTTTGTGCAGGCGGGTCCTAGATAAGGGAGCTGCTATGCTGCAGGGAGGCTCCTGGAGGTCAGTGGGGGTCTCATGTTGCTCA